TCCAGGGGAGTCGAGACCCTACGAAGTCACTTTCAGCGAAGCTATCCTTGACTTTAACTCCCTCACCACCGAGCAATCTCTGACCATACTGTCGATTCTGCCCATTATTTCGTTCGACTGGCTAACGACCAGAGCTGAGTGATAATCATCAAAGGGCATTGGACCTGCAATCGCTTATTTGATTTACATTTTAGGTATCGCGTTCATGAGCCTTCAGCAGGCGGCAACTGGAGTTCCTTATTTGAGGAGATCGTACCGGTCTTTTTGAATCAGGGTTACTCCTCTTGGAGTCATCACCGAAGACACAAAATGAGGCTTGAAGTCACCGCTAATCGTGCTTTTCGAGAAATGCAACCCGGCATGTACTATATTGAAAATGGTGAGGACTTTTTTCTTACCAGTTAGAGTACTCATTTTTTAGAAAAGCTAATCATAGCGGGTCCTGAATCTGATGTTGTACCATATGGTAACCAGAAAACTGTCATACATATCTTCAAACTCAGTCATTCTCTCGTTATTAACAGTTCGAAAAGCCCTCTCCATTTTTTCGTGCCCATTAAATTCTCTCCTTTTCATTTTCCATACAGGTGATTCGGAAGTTTACGGTTACGTGATTATGAACGATATTGGGGAGACTTCGTTGGAAAAGCTTGGTTGGTTTCGTTTTGTTGACGGTGAATGGGACATCAGACGAGGATCGATTAATGTTCGCCAAGCCCATGTAGGTATGATTCCCTATATATTTGAACTAATTTCATCGATTTGATCTTTTATAACTTTCTTTCACGTTATTTTATTTACTATTTATTTTTCATTCTATTTCCCTGGGCTTCCTCCATATACCTTTCTCCATGGGACGATTTACGTCGAAGCAATGGACCCGACACAGCCAGAGAACTACTTGGGATCCGCAGCAAAAGCATCTTTAGATTTTTTCTTCGACGTCTCTGATGTTTCTTGGATTTAACTAGTGATACCCCAACGACTTTACAGTCTGGTTCGAACATGATATCGTAGAGATTGCTCCAAGCCCTACCATCCCTCTGAATTTCCTCCCGAAATAAAATTCTCTCTGGGGTCGGCTCATCGGTACCATACTCGTTTGGGAGGATAAAAGCACTGGCTTGTACATCGGCTGACCACCGCAATTCACTGCATAGGTCACATACGCATTCAGTACGCCACTACAATTCTGAATGGAAATCGAATGCGGGGAGCGCATTCCTGAATTAGGATTGATTAACGCTCTATGAATTTATCCTTTTACTCCATGAATTCAGAATAGTTATACTTCTCTTCCGTAGGTACGATCTTACCGAAGAGTGCTTTGCGAACGTGCAATTTCAGAATGTGTACTTCACCAACTGCCTTGAACAGACTTACTACACTGCATTCGATGCTAACTACTTTGTGTTGAACAACAATGACAGAAAAGCACTTCATGTCGGCATGGGTAGGTCGTAATTTGGTTCCCTTCACTTGTTCACCGAAATACCTTCATTTACGATTTGTGTCGAGCCTTCTAAAGACTCGCCGCCAATTCCGACAAAGTTCAGAGCAGGGCGGCACCCTATAGTAGAGCCAGTTGTTCTCTCACAATTATGGCTACGTACGAGCGGACGGGATCAAGTTTTCGCTTTCAGGCAGATCTATGTCTTCGGATCCATGGATTGATTCCGCTACATATACGGACCGAGCCGTTGTTGTACAGCATGCCGAGGGGCTGTCTGTCACCGTACGTTTTGATTTGACACAGCGATTATGATTAAAGAACATCGCACCGCTTTTAAACTCTTGAAAATCAAAGGCACAGTTCACTATAGAGATGGTTCTAAGATTTTCCCTTAGGATGAACCAGTGGCCCACAAGAAAAGCACACGGGATGTTGTCGTGCCGATAATTAGACAGGATGTTAAATGGGTTCCAAACCGGCACAGCCGACATGTACACCCGAGGTGGCCGTTAAAAAAATTCAAAAGCAATTTCATTTATAAAGGCGCTTTCTTCTGGGGAAATTCTTCATTTTGACTTTTTGAACAGGGTGGCCGCCGCGCGAAGTGACCTACTTTCGACCCTTAGGAAATTCCTGTCTCATTCCTCCCACCTCTATGGCATGTGAAAAAGGCTAAAACAGCTGAAAACAAGCGGAAAAAACTTACAACACTGGCAGACGTTCTTAGTGGTTGGGAACAAACCGCTTCGTTGAAGATACAGGACGTCATCACATAATCAAACGGTTGCTAGCACCCGTTTTAGAATCACTGAAATAGTATTTTCAGATGCATGTGATAACAGAAACTCGTCCAAAAATCCAGCGACACTCATCCGAACTTGCCGATTTCTCGGGTACAATACACGTGGACGAGAAAAGCAATTACTACTTAAATATCACATTTTTTGTAAGTTTTGTCCTATTTCTCTGAGAGCGATCTTTGGACCCTAACGCTGTCACATAGTTGAGACTGTTGGCTCGCCTAGTGAATATGTATCTCAGGGAGCCAGTTCGAATTTCGCTGTCAAGCTCTACTTTAGGAAGCTCGTGGGACCATCCTTGGTAGCATCTTCACTAACGAAACGAGATCACAACTGCAAGGACGCGTTCATGTTCCAAGTCAGTGTTGCCTAATTTTTCGGATTTTTTTTTTGATTAGATAAAATACTGTAGGCTTTGATTTGCAGTAGCGTCTAGTAAAAAAGCGAATGTCACGACGCGAATTTCGCTCGCTGCCTCGTTCAACGGCACTCAATACGTTTGTTTTCATCCAAAAGACGATCCTAATGAAGAGATCTGCCACTGGTTGAGGAAAGCGATTCTTTGCTTCTGCCGATTAATTACATTTACTTAAAAAGTTCCAAATTCAGGTTTCTTGCCAAACCGTTAAGGAAGACTGATACACAGGGCGATGGCAAATTCTACAAAGCGAAAGGGTTGTGCTCAGGGTAAGGCTTAACGTCTCACTTCTTTAGTAAGCTGATCGAGTGGACCGCTTACTTTTCATCAAGTGACTGAATATCAAGATCTTATAAACAAGTAAAGAAGGTGAAAATATAGTTGGGGAGCGGACAGGAACAACTCTTTTCCGACGTTGAGCGCTAGAGCGGAAGGAAGGAGGAAGACCTGACTTACTTGTGCTTAGAGGTTTTTAGAAGTAGGAATATAGTTTCTACCTGTGCCTCGACAGGAGAGGAACACTGGGATAGGTTAGATGACTTCATTGCGCAAAAAGTTGGGATCATGTAAGAATTGGACTTTCACTTGACTCACCCACCCCGCTGCTCCTTTCCTTCTAAGAATTGGATAAAAGAAACTAGTAGACACTACATGTTATGGGTTCGCGAAGTCGTCTACCCTTTCTTTTCTACGCTCTAGCGCTTAGTGTTGGGAAAGAGGGAAAGAGCGAAGACCCCATTCACCCCTTCCCCCCCAACCAACTACATTTTCACTGTACATTTTCACTTCACTGTAAAGGATGTGTAAAAGATGAAGTACCTGGGGTTCTTCCTTTCATACGATTGTTATCCTTTTACACCACTCATTGAATTCCGCGAAGACCGTCGACGGAGTATATCAGCGCGTTTTTCCCTAAAAAGTATGATATTGCAGATGATACGCTCTGTTTACGTCTAATTCTCTTAATAAGCTTGTCTTGTGTCGAGAGCGATGTCAGAGGGTAAAGGAGTGGAGGAGGGAAGGCTAGAGTGACCCAGATGGGATCGAGCTTAAGGGTTGTGGGTGTACACTACTTTTCTTGACAGTACTTCAATACCTCGGTCCCGGATACAATCTCATAACCAAATGTGGAATAGAAACTTATCCGACACATAGGCATTGAATACTAGTAAAGCAAAAATGCCTAGCTTTTGAAAAAGGCGAACATTGATCTAAAAAAATGGGTATTTCAGATGTAATGAAGAGTCGAACGAGATTCTGGAGTGGGTATTTGGTAGTTTCGCTATGCAATTCAATGAAACTCTACATTACCTCAAAGTTGCTCTACTAATTGGTTGTAGTGTATTTGTTACTATTGGTTTATGCGTAGTTCTTTACTTTCTTTTCAAATGTATTAGATTCCTTTTTCAAAGTGTTAATTGCATTGGAAATTTCATTCGATGTTTCCTATGAATCGAACTTTGTGCGTACATATCCTTCCCTCAGTGCCCAATTCATTGTCTTCTATGTTCATTTGAGACAAATTCCATTTTCCTTGTAATACCCATGTTCGGTAAGGGAATCCATCTGTAGTCCAACGATTTTTCACTGACGCAAGCTCTATAACGAACGAAGCGACTACCTCCTTTACTAGTCATCATCCCTCTCAGTTTTCACTTTGTTTTTTTTTTCGAATTCTTTTTAGTTTGATTTTTTCTATATTTCAGTAGTATATGCTCATTAATGGGTTCATTGAACTGTTCTTTGAACGTCAATTGCTGATTATTTATTTGAAAGTAAACAGAGGCTTATGTAAACAAAGGTACAGAACGTTAAGAATTCAAAGCAGAGGCAGCACATATTGTCAAGAGCAGAGAACTAATAGCAGATTCTTTGTCAAATATATTTAACT